GTTTTTCTATTTCCATGGTAAACACTGAAAGGTCCTTGCCTGGAAATGGTGTGTGTGCCCTTTGTCCTTGCATTATTTAATAAGCTCACTATATGAATTTTTCTCTTCAGAAAGGCTACTTATATCCTCCATCCATAAATCAACCTGTAACAGCACACTTTCAAATGGTTGAGAATTTGACATGAACCAAATATATAGGTTCTAAAACTAACACACATGGTGCTATACCTTTACCAAAAAAAATGTTAAACAGTTGACCACAATAAGTTAAGTTTATCTTTAAACACAGCTCTATGAAACAAACCAACATCAATGTTTTGACATGACAAGTCAGGGTGAAAAATGGAAACAAAATAACCTTATTCATGCAAGAAATTCTGTAACTACACAACAAAAAGTTCTGATGCACAAATGTGTATTTTTGTTAAAAACATATTGTTTTTACTTTGCCAATTCATATTGTAATTTTGACAAGAAATGGTAATTGTAAGTTATTAAATTGAAATAACTCATCTTTCGTAAAGTCAAATGAAGCATGTTTCATCAGAAAACTCGGAACAAGTTTCAACACATAACAAGTACCTTAACCAACCACCCTAACTATAAGAGGGAAAAAAAACATGATCGATAAAAATTCTAGGATAAAATACATAAAACTCAGTTTTATGACAATGAAAGTCAACTTTATATAATCACTTTATTACATCACTGAGACTGCATGGTAGTATTTATCAAATAAAGATAATCTTGCTTAAGTTTATTTAAAAGTCAAGATAAGACATGCTTAAAAAACTTGCACTATGTTCTCCACTACTCACGTGATACTTTTTTTTTTTAGAAAATAAGGAATATTACATTAGAGTTTTATCCAGGTTTTGGGATATGGTGTCCAATGACTTTCATACTGATAAAAAAAAATTACACTATGAATTTTGAAAGCAAATTGTGATAAATGTCTCTCAGGTAAAACTTAAGTCATCAATTAAAGTAACTTTACTAAACTTTACAATAAACTTTATTAATATTGATATTTGTATTTAATTTACAATTTTTATAATAATCAAATAACATTATATAAGTAACACTTGATATGCGACTTTCTAAACAAAGAATAATAAAGAATACTAAAGAATAGTAAATTTATGGAAACTCAGCCAAACTTCAAATCATGAAATGGTTTGAATAAACTCAGGACAGAGTAACACAATCTTAGCATAGAATATCGTAGTCCAGGGTGATGCAATCTTCTATCTGACCATAATCTTAGCATAGAATATCTTAGTCCCAAGTGATGCAACCTTTTATCTAAACACAATCTTAGCATGGAATATCCTAGTCTAAAGTGATGCAACCTTTTATCTAAACACAATCTTAGCATGGAATATCCTAGTACAGGGTGATTCAACCTTTTATCTAAACACAATCTTAGCATAGAATATCCTAGTACAGGGTGATTCAACCTTTTATCTAAACACAATCTTAGTATGGAATATCCTAGTCCAGGGTGATTCAACCTTTTATCTAAACACAATTTTAGCATGGAATATCCTAGTCCAGGGTGATACAACCTTTTATCTACAGACTGTAGGCTAGAGAACAGAAAAACTAGAAGGTCATAATTTGCTACTCATATCACTTACAGAACTTTTCCTCTTAAAGACTATTCAAGATTAAGTTTGTTTTTAATCGTAAACTTGAATAAACATCAACAATAAAGTGTGATTCCTAATGAGTGGGCAGACCAGCTGTCAGACTTGGTGCAGCCAACTAGTTAAACCACATTGTTAGACCTAATATGTCATACATTATAATTATGTTTTAAGTTAAATTTGTTTATTCCTGCACATTAGTGTCTTGAGAATTCAACATTTAACCAAAAAACAACAGTTGCAAAACAAACTTATAAATAAAAATACCACAAACAAACATCTCTAATTACATAAATCTGTATAGTGAAATAATGTAATTTTCATATAAACCCAGTTTTCTCTGATAAATCTTAACTTGACATTTACATAAATACATATATATGTATAAGCATTCTTTTGAATAATATTATTGCAGTCATTATACTTATCACACTTTTGTTATTTGAATTTCTAAAATGTCACACAAAATGAGTTTCATGATCATTCAATCATACATTTACCTGTATTTAGTTCTTGTGAAAATGGAACATACTAAATGGTTGGTGACAATATATTGTTTACTAAGATAAAATCATTTTCCTGGGAATTGATTAGGTTATAGACAAACAAAGATAGCAAGCAATATCAGTTATGCCTGAAACAGTCGACAAAAGGAATTTCTAAGTTGGTAAAAGTCAAGAACTGTGCTAACTTAGGTGTGAAATTATTGCTAAAAGTCATGGCAGTGAGTAACAGAAGTAGCATTAAAAGCACAATTATTATAGCACAATTGATATCTATGAAGCCAGAAACAATCTTTTTTTTCAATAAAAATATTTTAGTTGAGAACAGTGAATGATCAACAACCATGTAGCCCGACTTCTACAATGAAATACTGAGTATATTCTTTCAATCATTCATATTGTAGCCTAAGAGCTACTGTTGGTGTCACGCCCTCGTTTATTGCTGGGTTTCTGGAGGACAGAGGACTCCAGGACAAACTAGGTCAGTTGTTGGTTGTGTTCACTAACTATCCTCCAAACCTATTTAGATACTGTCCTCCTGCCCTTAAAATATTCTAGTAACTTAGTTATAGGAATAAGAGAGGATAAGAAATGATAATAACTTTAGTTCTTTAATTCAAGAAGAAGAAAAAAAGGAAAAGTACAACACTTCACAGAATTAACTCCATATTATCAAGTGTAATTCACAATAAAAATAAATCTCAATTCGTTTTACCTAAATATGTCAGATAATTGACCAATAGGGTTCATTTAGAGTTACCATTGAAGCAATTTTATTCCTTTAAACTAGACCCATTTTGTTTGAAAAAAAAGGGGGTCTAGTCTAACGCAATAACCTGACCCTATACGTTATTATCTTGTTACACATTACAGTTTATAATACTTAAGTTCATGCAGTGAAACATGGTAAACCTTGTTTTCCTATTCTAATTAATGCTCAAGTTATTGCTACTTCTTATCTAGTATTATTTTTTCCCAGCTACTCTGTTCCAAAGTTAGCTGCAGAAAGTATGTTTTTCAGAAAAATATAAAGTAAGAAACAGTAGTCTTGATAAGATGATTAAATTTAGACAGCGATGTTTTTATCCAGAAGAAAAATTGCAAAACTTTCACAAACTTAATATTTTTCTCAAAGTTTATCAGAAATATATGTTAATAATATATATACATTTACTAAAATGGAATAAAATTTTTCATTGGTTTACTCAAACTTTCTTACTTTAATAATATAAATACTGCCATATCATGCAAAGTACCTCCTGATTTTCACATACATGACTTCAGTTTCTTAAAACTGAACAGAATTTAGTTAGAATTTTTTCTTGATTTCCAAATAATTTCAGTCCTTATTAATTCATTTGTGAACAGATAATTTAACTATCCTAATAAACCTGTACACATTTAACTTTTCAATGTGATTTTCATAGCCTACAGTCTAAACTAGAATAATGTCAGTTTTCACTGTAATAAATCAGTGTTAAACAAAGATCTAAATATTCATGTTATGTTATAATCACTCTAAAAAATTTCGAACTTATTACTGATTCTTGGAAAAGCAAATAAAGCACATGTTTATGATAAAATCATTAGAATAACCATCAAAGTGAAACAATAATCCAACATTAATATATTTACAGCACACATCTTCAAGAAATCACCATTACTAGACCCATGTCCAATAACCTGTATAACTACATTATTCACAACTCTGCATAGTTATGTAGATTACATTACACACCAGCATATTTTGGATCATCAGGAGCTTCTTTATGTAATACTTATTAGAGCTGGGTGATTAACTTGATTAATCAATATAACATATTACCAATGATCAATTAATGTTACATGAAATAACTGATTAATCAAACTTACAATTAAACCATGCAAGAATAATTAGTAAGTTAAATGTAATCAATTACTGAGCATGACAATTAGTCGATTAGCAAATTCCACCAATCGCTCAGCTCTAATACTCAATACAGATAAGTAAACTTGTAAACAAGTCAAAGAAAAACAGTTAAAATTATGACCTTAACATATATTCAGCTTTGTCAACATTACATGACCAAAGGTTGATACAAGTTACAAAAACACCATATTAGCCCAATAAAACTCAACAATTTTCAGCAGAGTACAATTTATATAGATAACACAGTATGGGAGGGTATATTTAAGTATTACACATAAAACATTTCTATCAGTCAACAAAACTTTAGTAAAATTGCTATTATTTAGCCAGTTTTTACCATAAAAAAAGTATCAACCCATTTAAATAAGATATATGTACACCACAGTTTACTTTTACCTTGATGATAGGATACTCAAATAGCTGTAGCCATTAGAATTTATGCTGTAAAATGAACCACACTAAACACAGCTCTCCACACTAACAGAGCTAAGTTCTTACAACATTGCACATATATAAACTATTTACACAAATATAAAAGATGCATGCAAAAATTCAGCAGCATAAAGAAAGTACTTTTATTACAGTAGCAAAATGGAACCTACTTCTCTAAAATACTTTTTAATGCCATAATAAGAAATTAACAAATTGTAGAAAATCTCTTCTGTTAAGTATTGCTACTGGATAGCATAATCTAACATTTAAACGAGCCACAAACAAAATTAAACATTGTGATGCTAAAACTCAGCAATAACTTCAAACATCAACTTTACTTTTAATGTGAAAAAACATATATACAACACACATTTTTACTTTTAAATAAAACAAATCTGGAAAGCCTATATGCAGATGATGCAACATACTAAATCTGACAAAAAAAAATTCTTAAACAAGTAGCGTTTACATGTACATAAACAATAACTTTCTAAAAAAAATAACAACCTGTGTGTAGCACCAACTTTCTGCCACTGGGGTAGCAACTTCATTATTTGGAGGGGGTGAAGGAACACGTGACACAGCCATCAGATTAACAGTCTTTAAAATCACTTGCTCATCAACTAGCCTTACAGTTCACAGCAAGTTCAATTTGTTCTGCCTACAACAAGCCATAAAAAAAAAGTTATGAAGAATACATAATACACATCATTAAGAAGTAATTTATCTTGAGGATAAGATGTCCTTAGAAAACTACTAATTTTCTAAAACAGAAATTTATCATTTTTTAAATTTGCAGATCGTCTATAAATTCTAAGATCTATATGCAACTTCCCAATTACAACAATTATGTTGTGAATGCCTTTTCAAAGATGGCGAAGCATGATTATCATTAATTATACTTGAAGTATGTTTTTACTCCTGCATTTTTTGCCTAGTCCCTTAGGTTGGAATACTATTATCATACATGTTTTAATTCTTGAAAATAAAGTGTCAATCCATTTAAACAACATATATGTACACAACATTTTAGTTTAACCCTGGTGATAGGATGCTCATAACTAACTGTAGCCATAAGGAAATATACTGGGAAATAAACTACACTAAACATAGCTCTCCATATTAACAGAGGCAAACTCTTATAAAGACAGAATTGCCATATGTTGGAAGGTTATTATTATTATTATTATTAAACACTCTTCTAAGGGACCAGATAAAGTATGTAGTATTAAAATATATAATAGGCCTAATATTAATGTCTTATGACAAGTAAAATTAGTTATGTTAATGAATCTACAAAATGTTACAACAATGTTTCCAAAGCCTTTAGTCCATTTAAATTTCTAATTCAAATTTTTAATGTTCTTTGTACTTAAAGAAATGCAATAAAAAAACAACTTCATTCCAGGAAAGTAACTAAAAGTTAAGTTACACAATGAACACTTTTCTGGGCAAGCAAACCATAGTACATACTTTACAAGATTCTTCAGAGCACTTAGAAGAATCTTGTAACCTGTTACTCATCAATTTCACTAAAACTCAATAACATCACCACAAACTTTCATCTGAGCCTATCAATAACATATTAGGTTTTATTTTACCAAGTCTATATTCAACTTGATAATTAAGTTTTTCAACTGAACATTGAATACTTAACATACCTACAAGTTAAAAATATATTCATAAATATAAAAAATGGGGGTTTAATGTATTAGGTCGTCAAGAAATTAATGTCGCATTTTGGGACACTTTTCATTAACCACCCCCCAAAAAACCTACATCACATATAATAGTTAAAA